CCGCCCTCTCCCCCTCCGCCCTCACCGCCGCCGCCCTCGCCGCCGCCGCCCTCGCCGCCGCCACCGAGCCCGCCGCCACCGTCACCCCCGCCCCCGTCGCCGCCACTTCCCTCACCGCCATTGCCCAGCCCGCCGCCGCCATCTCCCCCACCGCCCTCACCGCCACGCTGCCAGCGCAGCCGCCGGGCGACGCGACAGCGGCTAGCGGCCGGGAGAGCCTCTCCAGTGCGGGCTGGGGGCGGCGGCGGCACTCTGCGGGTGGCGGGCGAGCTGCTGGCTGGCCGGCGGCGCGTCTCGACTCAAATTATGGGCCGCCTCTCGGGCGTGCGGCCAGGGGCCCGTGTGGCGCGAGGAGAGGGCGGCGCGCTCGGCGCGCTGGCGGCGGTGAAGCCTCTCAGAGTGGGCGCTGGCTGGCTGAGGGCGTCGGGCGGGTGTGGGGCGGCACTCGGGCCGCCGGACGGGCCGTGATGGCCCGTGTGGCGTTCGTGAGGGATTGTTTGGGCGCCCTGGCAGCCTCCCCGCCTGCGTGACCAGGGCCGGTTTGGCAGCGGTTTGGGCTGTGTGTGGGCTGGTCGCGGTAGGGGATATAGGGCTTGTTTATGGTCCCACTCACCACTCCCGGCCAACGGGGCCTCGCGGCACGCGGGGCGTCCTCGTTTGCAGTAAAAGGCCTCTGCCATCGCTCAGAGTCCCAATCCATGTGATCATCCGCGCCGCCGCGTCCCCAGATGCGACGTCGTCGGGGAGGGCGTCGTCGCGGGCGCCAACGTCGTCATCCGAGCCCCTACGGCTGTCCAAGGGCACGTCTGGGTGACCAGGGGCGGGGGCCGAGCCGTGAGTGCTCCGCCGGGGCGAGCTTCTGGGTCCATGGGACCGCTGCCGGACCCATCCGAGAGCCTCTCCGGACACGTTCGCTCGATGGCCTAGTTGGCGGCCGATATTCGACGACCAAAGCTCCGGGCGCCGCGGCCAGAGGTCCGCCCACGGCCCCAGGACTCGTGGTGGGTGTGGGGTGTGCCTCACGAGGCGGAGAGGCCGCGTGAACGCCCGTAGAAGCTCGCGAAGTGCGGATTTGGAGCGCCGCGCCGGACCTCCGCCGGGGCCCGCCGGGGCGTCGTATGGGCCTCGGGGTGCCCGAGAAGCTTAGAGGTGCGGTTTTTTTTGCTTGTGTCTATCGGTTCATGTCATGGACCGGCCCTGGGAAGCCTTTGACCGCGCGCGGAGGGTGTTACGGGGCCGTGATGATTTAGCGGGAGGGAAATCGGCTGGTTTGCCCAGTGTGCAGACACCGTCACCATCCGCAATTACGCCTTCCCTAACCCTAACCCTAACCCTAACCCTAACCCCCCCCGGTCCCAAGATCACCCACCCACGCTCCTGGCGTTGGCCGTCCTTGGCTACCGGCCGGCCGGTACGTACAACAGACAGAGAGAGAAAGAGAGTCAGTCAGACAGAGAGATAGAGAGTTGAGTGAGAGAGAGTTCTACAACAGTCAGCCTGGGCAACCTTTGCACGCGCCTCGGTTTCAACTTTCTGCCTGTCTATCGTAAGCTTTCTGCGTCGGCAACCCTAGCAAAAAACGTGACTTGTTTTACGTCAAGACTTTTACGCATTGCACGAGGCAACGCCTCCGCCGCCGCCACTCTTTTGCTGGAAGTACTGTGCCTTCAAGACAAACCCAGCGGAGCAACTGTGCAGTTGGACTGGCTGCGGGGCGTGTGACTTCTGCCAAAGCACGTCGATGGCGCCACCTCCGATGCCCCCACCGGAGGACGTGTCGCCCGAGGCTCGCCTGGAGTGCGGTAAGGACGGCTGGTGCTCGGAGCCGAGCCGGTGGGCGGACCTCGACGAGACGCACGCGGTGCGCTGCTGCCATGACGTCCAGGGCTCGCCTGCTTGGGCGTGGAAGCAGCAGGACACGTGCTCGGTGTGGGCGACGTCGCGGCCCGACGGCAGCTGCCGCTCGGAGAGCTTTGCCGGTGCGGCGGCGCTCTGTGCCGCCGCAGGAGCTCGCTTGTGCGCCGCCGCGGAGCTGCTCGCCGGCTGCACGCAGGCGACAGGCTGCGGCTACGACGAGGCCCTGGTTTGGTCGAGCGACGCGCGAGGAACTCAAGCTTCCCCTCTCTTGCCGCCGCCCGTCTCGCCTCCGCCGCCGTCTCCGCCAGAGGACGTGTCGCCCGAGGCTCGCCTGGAGTGCGGTAAGGACGGCTGGTGCTCGGAGCCGAGCCGGTGGGCGGACCTCGACGAGACGCACGCGGTGCGCTGCTGCCATGACGTCCAGGGCTCGCCTGCTTGGGCGTGGAAGCAGCAGGACACGTGCTCGGTGTGGGCGACGTCGCGGCCCGACGGCAGCTGCCGCTCGGAGAGCTTTGCCGGTGCGGCGGCGCTCTGTGCCGCCGCAGGAGCTCGCTTGTGCGCCGCCGCGGAGCTGCTCGCCGGCTGCACGCAGGCGACAGGCTGCGGCTACGACGAGGCCCTGGTTTGGTCGAGCGACGCGCGAGGAACTCAAGCTTCCCCTCTCTTGCCGCCGCCCGTCTCGCCTCCGCCGCCGTCTCCGCCAGAGGACGTGTCGCCCGAGGCTCGCCTGGAGTGCGGTAAGGACGGCTGGTGCTCGGAGCCGAGCCGGTGGGCGGACCTCGACGAGACGCACGCGGTGCGCTGCTGCCATGACGTCCAGGGCTCGCCTGCTTGGGCGTGGAAGCAGCAGGACACGTGCTCGGTGTGGGCGACGTCGCAGCCCGACGGCAGCTGCCGCTCGGAGAGCTTTGCCGGTGCGGCGGCGCTCTGTGCCGCCGCAGGAGCTCGCTTGTGCGCCGCCGCGGAGCTGCTCGCCGGCTGCACGCAGGCGACAGGCTGCGGCTACGACGAGGCCCTGGTTTGGTCGAGCGACGCGCGGGGAACTCAAGCGGGGACACCTCTGCCGCCGCCGCCGCCGGCAGCCGCGGCAGCCCCTCCACCGCCATGCCTGTCTCACTGCCAGTCCAACACCAAGGCCTGGGCGGACAAGTGCAACTGGGCCGGTTGCGGCGGCTGCTCGAGCTGTCCGGACTGACACACTGCAGCGAGACTGAGCTCTGACGTCTGAGGAGAGCGCGCCGCGCCCACACGACCCTGCCACACGCTCCTCACGAAGTCGCTCAGACCCAACTCAGCCAGAGCGGAGAGAGCACCATACCTCTTCATGCAGCTTTTGTCCATTGCTTGCCGCGTGCGTGTCTAATTGCGCACTTTATTACCGAAAACAGAGTGAACCGCGCGAGCTGGCCGGCCACAACTCGCACGTGAAAGGCGGACTAAGCAGCAACTCACAATTTTTGCACGGCGGCCTTCAGCTTTGCCACATCGGCACCGACGATCGTGTCCATGAGCTGTCCGGCCTTGTAGAACTGAAAAGTCGGCATCGCCGCGATGCTGTGATCTTGTGCCACCTCAGCAAGCTCATCCACATCCACCTGTGAGCAGGGAGAATCGGCAGGCGCTTCAGCGGCAGGCGCGCTGTGCTCGCCGCAGCGGCGAACGCGCCTTCAGGAAGCTCGCAGCGGGTGTCGCCTTGGCCAGCTCCGCAAAGATGGGCGAGATCATGCGACACGGGCCGCACCACGTCGCAGTGAAGTAGAGTACGACCGGCTTCTCACCGGCAAGGGCCGTGCTAACAGCGTCCTCGCTTCCGGCCGTCACGACGCAGAGGTGACGTCGAGCGGCACCGGCGAGCGCCCGGCTCGCTCCTCCTCGGTGTGCCAGCGAGAGCATCGACAGGTCGGCTCGCACAAGCAAGGCGCCCGAAAAGAGAAAACACCGGACTTCATGGCAGGGAAACCCGGTACGCGGGGCTAACCCTCGGAGACCCGTGTTTACTTTAAGGCCCTTTCCCTGCGAACGCGCACCCCCGGGGCTAGGGCTCTCTAGCCCGCAACCCGATCCCGATCATCCGGCCCGCTGGGTGCGCTTCTTAGCTCCCCGGCCCTGGATGTGAGGCTGATGACTGCACTCCAAGTGCTCCAAATCGCCCAAAGAGAAAAAATCAACGAAAAGCAAGAGGCCGCAGATCCAGCCTCATTGGGGCCCGGCGTGGGCGGAGGCAGGGCACTCGGACACACGCGATCGCTATATCGCTTTGCATGGACGCGCCGCGGCCTCCATCCTCGAGCGCCAGTCAGTCAGACTTCTAAGGTCCGACAGGTTCGGCACCGGGCACCGCCTCGGTATACAAAACGCGCCTGCGGGGGCGGACCCTTACAGATCACATATCACAGCGAGGCCTCTCGGTCTCTGCTTACCTTACCTTATCTCGGTAGTCTCGCTCTCGCGCCCTCTCCCGGCGTCGGGGCGCTCGCGGGCCGTCGGCTCTGTGTCGAATTAAAATAATAATAGGGTATGTATTTATCTAAGGAGAGGAGTCAAGACACAAGAGGGAGAAGCGCATTGGCTGCGGCTCAGGTCAGAGGGCCCAGCGACTCGTCGGTTGGGTGTAAACGGGCATTGCCTGTGGTCTTCAACGCACAAAGGGTGTGAATAGAGCTCTCCTGATCCTTCTGAGCACGAAGACCACTCGAACTCTTCTGCAGAGTTTAGTTTTCCCGGTGTTCATAAGCTGTGAATAGTTTATGCGCCCGCCGCAGCCCGCCCCACACGGGCCACGAGAGCCCTGCAAGCAGCTGGCATGTTCTATCGCCCGGGTGGCGGGCTGTCTGCACACAGACGTCTCGTCGCCATGGCTGACGCACGGATGGTCCGACCTGTGGCGGAGTTTGACCTCAGCTCGGCCGTCGGTGTCGGCGGGCTGACGGCGGCCGCCGGTTTCGCAATTCGCTCTGCCAGCTGCCAGCAGCCTCGTGTCGCCGCTCTCGTTGGCGCAGCAGCAGCGATTGGCCTTTGCGCCGTCGCTCGACGGCGTCACCGCCCATCCGACCTGCGCAGCTCCTGCAGCTCCTGCAGCTCCTGCTGTCAGTCTTCTGCTCTCACGCACTCGCCGCGCGCGGATTGTGCGCCGCGCCAAGCAGGACACGTGCTCATGCAAACAATGCGAGAACTTGGTTGCGCCGCTTAGTGGCGGCGCTGCTTTAGAGGAAGCGGCAGCGTGGGAAGCAAAGCAGATGGAGGCGGCGCGGCATGCCAAGGACTGCTGCTGGCGGAGGTTGAGCGGCTAAGTGCAGCAAGGGCCAAGGGCAAGAAGGGCAAGAAGAAGAAGAAGAATGTGGGCGTGGGCGATACGGGCGCCGCTAGGCTCAACGAGGAGATGCTGTCCTGCAGTTAGAGAGCTCGTAGCGAGCTCGATTTTGATGAGAATTTGATGAGAAATATCTCAATATTTTGAGCAAAAACGCCAAAAAATCGGCGCCTGCGGCGGGCCGGGGCCTCCGGCGGCGCCTGCGGCGGGCCGCTGGGGCTTCCGCCCCAGGCCCCGTTTACACCCGAGCTATGCCCCACGACCTGAGCCGGAGCGATTGGACGCAGTGTTCTGCTGCTATGGGGCGTCTCTAGGGGCGTCTCTCTGCGCAATCTCGCGAAAAAAAGACGAACAGTGGATGTGAGGTTAATGACTGCACTCCAAGTGCTCCAAGTGGGTCCCGCGACGGTACACTACCAGAGCCCAGAATATAAGCGTATAACTCTCTGAGACGAGATGGGATTTACGGACATGTGCATGCACATGCACATGGACATGGACATGGAATTCACTTCCAAGTCGTGCTCCAAGAGACTCGGAAGTCGGGAAGGGACCACCGACTAGCGACTACCCGTGCGAAACAAAAAGAAATAGAAAAGGCACACACTCTGGGGGGAGGCGAGGGCCCTAGGGGGTACCCATGCGGGGCGGAGATGGGGTCCCCCGGCCCGCCGCAGGCGCCGATTTTTTTGCCATTTTTTTTCGAGCGAGTTTTTACTTGTTTTCATGGGAATTCGGCGTACTTGCGGCCACATTGCTATCACGCCTTGCGACATCCTTTCGGCGCTGCTGACCGTGCCATGCTGCTCAACTGACCGCCTGCATAGCTCGCGGCCTTAGTCTTCGGCATTCAGTGACGACCTGATCGTACGGCCAGTAGGAAGGTGTCCTTCCAGCGCGTGCACGCTTCTGACGCAATGCGCGTCACAAACTGCCTCGGATTGGCTGCTGGCACTCTCGAGGCTATGCCTACACAGCCTCGCGCGCATGGGCAGTCAAGAGGGACCATGCACCTTCTCAGGACAGCGCCGGTGCCTCTCTCTTGGACCGGCAAACGTGGTGGTCTCGTGTCACCAATGTGGGACCAGTGCGGCATCGCGCCATCGACAGCTCTGAACTGCGCCTCACCACTGACCGGGTCGGATCGTGTCAAGCCTCTCGCCCGGCGGCCGGCCGTGTGCAGACGTCGGCCTGTCTGCTGTCTGGAGTGATCTGTCGGCGGTCAGTACGACCGATCAGGTTGGAGTTTTCTGATGATTGGAGGGTCTATCTACCTGTATGTACTCCTCGAGATCTCTCCAAATCTGCCCTCTACTCAACCGTACTCATTCGGGAAGTCGGTGCTAACGGAGACTAACGGAGCCGGAGCCCCGTTTCCGCACTGCTGCGCGGCGCACGGTGCCTCCGGGGGCCCCCGCCTCCCCCCAGAGGCTCAGCATCTCTTCAGCTCCCTCGGCCGAGCTCCATCATCTCTTCCGCACCTCACGAGCTGCACCAACTCTGACAAAACAAACGAGTGTTAGAGTTGTTTGGTATTGGCTAACGGACCTTACCCGCCTGTAACCTCTCTGTAAGGTATTGCTAAAAATCTCTCTCTCTCTCTCTCCCAACTCTGACGCGTTGCCCTTCCTGGCGTGGAAGGCGCGCCTGGAGAACTTCTGGTTCTGCCGGGTGTAGTCCGGCTCGAATGGGCACCGCCTGATGCCGCATAGGTGCGCCCACTTGCCGCAAATTGTTTAAAGGGTGTGGAGGAAGTAAGCCTGTACCGCGTTCTGTGTGTGTCTCGTTCACGGCCTTGTTATTGAGAAGAAAATACCTCCTATGGCGCTGTGCGCTGGCCTGTGAGAGGTTGAGGTGCGAGCCCTGGAGGCCCTGGGGATGGGGGGGGGACTACCCGCGGGCTTAGAAGGCCCTTCACAGCCTTGTTCACACTCCCTCGCGAACACGAGTACGTCGACAGCTGCAGGCCCCGGCGACGCGAAAGGTCCGCGCCGTCTCCCCGCACCTCTACCTCTCACGGGGGCTCGCTCCCCGGTCGGCTCGCTTTCGCACACCGCGCGCGCGGCTCCTTCGCCCCTCACCGCTCGCGGCGCCTCCTCTGCCGCCGCAGGCTCCTCCGCCGCACGCCATGTCTCCGGAAGGGTCGGATCTGGCGTACTCGGTGGCGTATGACTTTCTCAAGAAGCAGGCGCACACGAGCGGGAGCCTGGGCCGTCGCCCCCTCCCGCTGAGCCGCTGCCTCCTTCCCCCGCTCGCAGGGCCACAGCGCGCTCGCGGCCAGCCTGGTCAAGGAGCTGAAGCGTACCCCCGAGGCGCCCCCGGTGTCGCTGATGGATGTGCTGCACCCCATCTCTTTGGTCGCTGGCGTCAAGCGCAAGGGCGAGAACGGCGCGCCGCGCCCGCCTGACCCGCCGACCCGCGCTGCCCCGCATCCGGCAGTAGCCCCAGCACATGCCGCCGCTGCTCGGTGCGAGAAGGGTGCGGCCGGCCTGGCCTTCTCACTGGCCCATCGCCTCGCTGCGCAGGGATCCTGCCGACCTCGAACAAGCGGAGCAAGGTGGAGGAGTCGGAGGAGAGCGACGACGACGACGGTGCCTCGCGCCGCCCCGCCACCACACACCGAGAGAGCGGAGGCTTGCGTGCGTGCGTGGAGAGCACCGCGCGCCCAGGCACCGAGGGGCAAGACGAGGATCCACTCCCCTCGGAGCGCGTGGGCAGCAGCCACCTCGTGCCTGCCCCCCCTCCCTCCCGTCGCAGACGACGACAGCGACACGTCGAGCGGCGGCAAGCAGCCGGCCCCTACCAAGGAGTCGTCTTCTGCAGAGGAGTCGTCGGACGACGACAGCGAGGAGGAGGCGAAGCCCGCCGCCGCTGCCGCCAAGAAGGAGGAGTCTTCGGACGACGACAGCGACGACGACTCGGACGACTCGGACGACTCTTCCGAGGAGGCGAAGCCCGCCGCCGCCCCCGCCGCTGCCGCCGCCGCGAAGAAGGAGGAGTCGTCGGACGATGACAGCGACGACGACGACGACGACGACGACTCGGACGACTCGGACGACTCCGAGGAGGCGAAGCCCGCCGCCCCCGCCGCTGCCGCCGCCGCCGCCGCCAAGATGGAGGAGTCGTCGGACGATGACGACAGCAGCGACGACAGCGACGACGACGACGACGACGACGACGACGACGACTCCGAGGAGGCGAAGCCCGCCGCCGCTGCTGCCGCCGCGAAGGAGGAGGAGTCGTCGGACGATGACAGCAGCGACGACGACGACGACGACAGCGACGACGACTCGGACGACTCGGACGACTCCGAGGAGGCGAAGCCCGCCGCCCCCGCCGCTGCCGCCGCCGCGAAGAAGGAGGAGTCGTCGGACGACGACGACAGCAGCGACGACGACGACGACGACGACGACGACGACGACTCCGATGACTCCGAGGAGGCGAAGCCCGCCGCCGCCGCCGCTGCCGCCGCCGCGAAGAAGGAGGAGTCGTCGGACGACGACGACAGCAGCGACGACGACGACGACGACGACTCGGACGACTCCGATGACTCCGAGGAGGCGAAGCCCGCCGCCGCTGCCGCCAAGAAGGAGGAGTCCTCGGACGACGACAGCGACGACGACTCGGACGACTCGGACGACTCCTCCGAGGAGGCGAAGCCCGCCGCCGCCCCCGCCGCTGCCCCCGCCGCGAAGAAGGAGGAGTCGTCGGACGATGACGACAGCAGCGACGACAGCGACGACAGCGACGACAGCGGCTCAGATGAGGCATAGGAGTAGCCGTCTCAAGTAGCGTGGTGTCGTGTTGGGGCTATTTTAACTCCCCGCCTCTTCTTAATAGGAGGCGGAGAAGAAGAAGCACACAGAGGGCCACACGGGGGAGCGCGCGCCCGCGGACGAGGAGGAGACGCCGCGCGCCCAGGCGAAGGCGGGCCGTTTCATGCGCGTCGACCCGAACGAGGCGCTGCCAGTTCCCCTTGCTTGTGTTTGGCTACGCCGTCGCTGCCCGGTCTCACGGCGTCGTCCCCGTAGGTGGTCTCGAAGCTCGGCGAGAAGTCGCTCATCGACAACAGCTGGGACGCGCTGCGCGCCAAGGGCCACACGTACGCCGACAAGGCGCAGGAGCGGCTCGGGCCGGTCAAGGGCAAGGCCTTCCAAAAGCAGATGACCAAGGCCAAGCGCGGGACCTACATGGGCGGCGCTATCGACGTCGGCGCGGTCAATAGCATCAAGTTCGAGTGAATGTGGCGAGCTGAATTATTAGTACGCGCTCTCTACGCGCTTTTATTGATTGCGTCGTGCGTGGCCGGAGCCCGGACGCCCCCCGCGTATATGTAAAAAAAATTTGTTCCAGTCTTGATTGCGTCGTGCGTGGCCGGAGCCCGGACGCCCCCCGCGTATATGTATATGTGTGAAGCTGTGAACTCTCTAGCGCTGTACACTGCGAAAGGGGCTCGACTGCGGGTGCGGCGCAGGGGAGCCTTACTGCTTACAGACTACCCCAAGAAAGAAAGACTCCTTATTTCAGCTGGTCGGCCGGCGCCATGTGGGCCTCCGGGCCTGCTGCGGCCCGGCGCGGCCCCCGGTTGTGGGTTGAGCACATGAGCTTGAGGCCGGGCTCGGCCCGGCCCGCGACGGCTGGCCGCGGACGAGCGCGCTCGCGCTGCTCGTCAAGATGGCGGCGGTGGCGATTTTGCGGCGACAAAAGTTCAGTCGTACAGCGCTCAGGCGCCTGTCGTCTTTCGCTCTGGGGGGAGGCGGGGTCCCCCGGAGGCACCGTGCGCCGCGCAGCAGTGCGGAAACGGGGCTCCGGCTCTACTAGTCTCTACTAGCACCGACTTCCCGATCTAACCCGGTCTAACAGAGGGCAGATTTGGAGAGATCTCGAGGAGTACATACAGATAGACCCTCCAATCATCAGAAACTTCCGACCTCAAATTACCCTCCCGTTCACTTTGTACTCGGCCGTTCCCGCAGTTCGAGCATTGCGACTGCGGCTACTAAACTAATACACACTACAAAGCGCAGCCCACGGCTCTACGAGCCGTGGGCGCGACAGACCCCAGCGGGGTTGCCGGGTGGCGCGCCGGCGCTGCCGGCACCACCCTCCTAGGCGCGCGCCGTGCGGCCACGGGGCTTCGGGTCAGGAAGCGATAATACGCGAGGCCACCGAGGCCAAGGAGCAAGAGGAAGAGGAAGACTCCAACCGTGAAGGCAGCCGCACAGCCGGCGTCGCAGCCCACGTCGACCCATTCGTCGACGACGCACGAATCGAAGAGGGATTCGAGGTACGCCGTCGACATGACGAGCGCACGCGGCTCGACGTCGTTGTTGCCGTAGCTCACGACCACCTTGTTCTGCGCCTCATGTAGCAGGAGACCGCTCGCGAAGCTCGCCTGGCCACCCTGTAACGGCAGCGGCCGGCTCACCGCCCTCACGCGGAAGGGTGGCTCTCGCTGGAACTTGTACGCGAACGTCGTGTAGGCGCCGCCGGGGCCGATCGAATGCATCAGCGCGAGGTAGGTGTCGTTAGAGTACTGGATGGCGGTCGCTGAGCCATGGAGCTGGTAGCCGTCCCTCACCAGCTGGGAGAAGGGCGCGAACGACGCGTCCGTGTACTCATGCCACGTCGCACATGCCCCGTCGGTCGCGCGCGCCTGTACGATGACGTGTGGGAAGATCGAGTACACGTAGAAGAGCTGCCCCTCGTGTGTGAAGGCGATCCAATTCTTCTCCGGCCGGTGGCGCTCGCCGCAGTCGAGGCGTGTGCCCACACCCACCGAGGCGGCGGCAATCGCGCCCGCGTCGGCCGTCGGCTGAATCGTAACGCTCTCGGTGCGCGCCACCGCTGCCTCGTCCGCCACCGCTGCCTCGTCCGCCGCGGCCGCCGCCGCGGCCGCGGCCGCAGCAGCAGCAGCAGCAGTGAAGGTGGGGACTGCGGTGGTGGCGGCAGTTGCGGCGGCGGTGGTGGCGCTCTCGCCGCGCGCCACCGCGTACATTTGCGTGACAGCGTGCTCGCACTCGCCGTCGAGCTCAACTGGCGGCAAACTTGAGAAGGAGATGAGCCACCGCTCCCCTGGCGGCGAGACGCGCATGTCGCCGACGGCAAGCAGCTTGGGGTCCTCAGCGCCCGTCACGCTCTTGCGCATGAGCGTGCGGTTGGAGCTGACGTAAAGGGGTGGCGTCTCGCAGAGACCATGCCACGAGCTGTTGGTGCGCAGCGACGGGGTGAACCGTGCCGGCGGCATCGCGCCGGACCCGCTGAGCCCCCACGCGCCCACGTCGTCCCATCCCGCGAGAAAGGTGGCCGCGTCCGTCGGCTCGGTGCTGAGCAGCATGTCCGACGACCATTGGGTGTGGATCTCGGTGACGTCCGCCACCGTCTCATCCTCCGCCTCCCAGTAGTAGCTGAGGCCCATGCTGATCGTCTCGCTGATGGCGTGCGCCCGCGCCGCGCGGACAAGCTGCGCTGGCGCGCCGTCCGCTTGCGGGACCAGCAGCAGGCTTGGGTTGATCACGGCTCGCGTGTCGTCGCCGGCGATCCTCCAGTCGAGCCGCAGGTCGACGCACTCGTCGGCGACACGCACGAGCGCGGGCGTGCGCGCGGCCGGCCAGTACTTGTACGGCAGCGCTATCACCAGCAGGAGAGCGCTGAGCAGCGGCGGGAGGGCCGCGAGCCTTCGCGCCTTGCTAGGCTGCCCCTTTTTGGTGCTCTGCTGTAGCCACCACGCACGCGCCGGGATGATCCAGAGCTCGGCGTAGAGCCACGAGAGCGAGAGCAAGAAGATAAAGAAGGGGAGCAGCGCGCCGTCGAGTGACTTGGACGGGAAGAGCTCATACGCCGAGAACTGCAGCACATACTGAGCAAAGGAGAGGTTGCCCCACGACGCGGGCGCGTACGCGAAGAGACGGGCGATGGGGTCGATGGCGAGACACTGGAGGCAGCGCGAGCCGAACGAGGGCTCGGCAGGCACCACCTCACCCACCGTGACGGTGATTGCCGATACCGACGAAGCGCCCTCCGCTCCGGCCGCCTTGGTGGCAGTCGCGTTCGCCGCGTCGGCCGCGTTCGCCGCGTCGGTCGCGTTCGCCGCGTCGGTCGCGTTCGCCGCGTCGGTCGCGTTCGCCGCGTCGGCAGCGTTCGCCGCATCGTCGCCAATGTCGGCCGTTGTCGCCGATGTCGTGCTCACGGGCGCCACCTCATTCGACGCGGCTTGAGGCTGCTTCTGGCTCCCATTTGGCGACGCCGCTGACGGCTTGCTGGACGCCGACTTGTCCTTGGGCAGCGGCGAGCAGCCGAGAATGATGAGGCCTTGGGGGATGAGGAGGATGGAAAGGCGCGTGGAGAGCTTCGCCGAGAAGGGATCGAGCGGGACGCAGAAGACGGTGAGGATGGTCCCGTACCCAATCACGCAGCCCCAGCCGATGCACAGGTGCTGGACCATCCACACGAGCCACGCCGGCGCGGACACGCCCGGCTCGCCACGGCGCGCCGCGAGCGCGCTCTTGACGCGCTCGCGCACACGGGCGAGCACGGCGCCGAAGCAGAAGACGTGGAAGTAGCAGAAGGGATGGAACTTGAGAAAGACGACGAGCACGTCGATGTAGGTCGCGGTCGAGTAGGGCGTGTGCGCCGTGTACCATGCGTTGGGCGCCACGCCCGAGCCGGGGTTGTACGCCTCCGGCAGAATGAACGCGAGCCACGGCGGCAGCGAGAGCAGCAGGATCACCAGGAGCGCGGCTCGCAGCGTGCGCAGGCGCAGCACCACGCAGGCGACGGGCTTGAAGAGGCACCAGAAGGGCACCATCGCCGAGAGGAACCACAGGTGAAGTTCAAGCGAGCGCTCGGTCACCCATGGCACCCACCCCTGCATGAGGAAGCCCTGCATCAGCAGCGTGTACCATTCGGCGACGACAGAGCGCCCCTTGGCCATGATGATGATCAGAGAGATCAGCAGGCCCACTGCGTATCCGGGGTAGATGGCCGAGGCTCGCTTGCGGACAGCGGCGACCGTCGGCTCGAGCTTTGCCGGGTCCTTGCGCCCGAGCTGCGCGTGCATGAGCACAAAGCCGGAGAGCATAAAGAACCATGGCACCCACGTGAACCCCCACCCGATGAACGCGTTGTTCAGCGGCCCGTACGTTGGCGGCACGGCGCCGCGATCGACCATGTGGCTGATGACCACGTGCACGCTGCCGAGAACGCGCGCGGCGTTCAAGCCGGCCAGGTGCTCCTTCCCCTCAACCGGCGCGGCCACGGCGAAGAAGCCGAGGCGTGCCTTCCAACGCGCCCATCTGCTCGGCGCCTCCTCCGCCCGCTTGGTGGCGGCGGCCTCGTCCTGCTGACGCATCCAGTGCACCCACATGCACATGGCTTGCACGAGCACTGCGGCGAAGGCGATCATGGCAGCACCCCACGCCCACGGTCGGCGCGCCTCCGGACAGTAGAGCCTGTTGACGCACTCTACCGGCTGCTGCGTGATCAGCGCCGCCAAGTCGCAAGCGCCGCCCCCGCCATCCTCGCCGTCCTCGCCGTCCTCGCCGTCCTCGCCGTCCTCGCCGTCCTCGCCGCCGTCGCCGTGGAGACCCTCCTCCGTTGCGTTGGCCAACTGCCGCCGCTGCCGACGCCGAGACGCGGTGTCAAACGCTGCAAACAAGCACTTGCGAGCCACGGCGCACTCGTAGTTACGAAAGCCGATCCATGATCCATCATAGTTACGCGACACGGCCCAGTCGTAGTCTTCGCAAGTACAGAGGTACCCGCCGTCGGTGCCCTCGCATTCGGCGTCGTAAAGGGAGGAGGCGTGGCACGATCGCGAGCTCTTGATCGCGCGTGCGACCGTCGTCTCGCCGTCAGTGATCGCGTTGAAGAGCAACTGCCAACTCCACAGGAAGAAGAAAGTCGAGTAGTGGCCACCGATCGCCTCATTGTACTGCACCGGCGTCGAGAATTCGTGCATATCGAAGAGGGCCCACGACGGCCCCAGCCTCTGCTTGGCGGTGGAGACCAGGTGGCCATACGGGTACGGGTCGGTGATGAAGACGCAGGTGACGGCGTCCAACGCGCACAAGGGCTCCGATGACGCCATGAGGGCCTCAAAGTGCGAGGCAAACTCCGGGATACGGTTCCTGTAATGGTACCAGATACCGGCGGTCGGGAAGAAGTTGAGTGCCGCACCGCCCCAGCCCTTTGACGAAGACACATCTGCAAGCGAGAAGATGGAGGAGGGTGATGGTAGGGGGGTGGGAATGGTTGCAAGTGCGGGTGGTGCCGGTGCCGGTGCCGGTGCCGGTGCCGGTTAGGTGAGGCAGGGTGGGGCGGGGCGCTGGGGTGGGGCGCTGGGGTGGGGCGCTGGGAGGGGGAGCGCACATGCTGGGCGCAGCACTGACTCCACGAGTCTCGTCTGGTAGTCGGCGAAACGGCCCTCCACGTGGGTAATGCGCACCATCTTCACATTCGGCACAAAGTCCGGTGCGGTATTAAACATTGCGTTCAAGCAGTTGGCGATCCCGTCTAGCCATTCCAACGCACCGTCAGCGCCCGCACAACCCAACGCAGGGTCAAAGTCGGAGTACGCGGCGGAGTACAGATGGACGAGCCGCCATGAAGAGTGGTGCGAGTTGTAGGCAAAGCCGCCGCTGGAACTGTCCTGTGCCCAGACGAAGTCGAAGACGCGCGCGCTGCCGACGCGCTGGCCGCGGTACACGTGAGATAGTAGTGGCTCCGGGACGCCGAGAGTCCTGAGCGCCTCGGCGTCCACAAAGGTGCCGGCGATGCCGGGTTCGATCAACTTGAGCAACTCATGCGTCATGATCAGGTTGTTGGAGCCGCCCGTCGTCACGGTCCAGCGGTTGGCCAGGAGGTTCAGCACGGCGTCGGGTGTGTCGTAGAGCTCATACAGGCAGCCGCCTGCCGGCAAGAAGGTGTCGCCCGCCCACGTGCCAGACGTGCGTAGTTCCGTGCAACGAGGCGGGCTGGGCGGCGGCGGCGAGAGTGGCGGCAAGCTGAGCGGCGGCGGCGAGGGAGGCGGCAGGCGGGGAGGCGGTGGCGGAGCCTGTGGCATGCCCTCTGGAACGGCGGGCGGGAAGGACGGCGGCGGAGGCGACGGCGAGGACGACGGCGGCGGCGGTGAGGGCGAGGTGGACGGCGGCGGCGGTGAGGGTGGCGGCGGCGGGAGAGGAGTCACCGATGCGTACGCCACGCTCTGCGTCCGGTTCACCTCGCCCGTGGGGAACCCGGCGCCCACCGGAGCTGACGCCACGAGGGCCTCCGCCGATTGGCCCACGAAGCGGCCGAATTCGGGCGTGCACTGGAGGGCACCGCGCAGGACGCAGAGGCCGCTCGCGAGCGTGTAGCCGCCGCAGCCGAAGTGCTCGGCGCAATACGCTCGACAACGCTCTTCGTCGAGCGAGGCCGACGGAGGCGGCGGGGACGGCGACGCGGAGGGAGGCGGTGGCGACGGCGACGCGGAAGGAGGTGGACCATTGCGATTTCCTGCGAAGACGTAGAACTTGCACACCGTCAGCCCCGCCGCAGACGGCCGGTTGAGGTAGATGTAGCGCCCCAACGCGTTGATCTCCACCTCCAACATCACGTTCGACAACACGCTCACGTCTGACTTCACCAGCGCGTTGCCCGTGTACGTCTCCGCCGTCGAGCCGAGATAGATGTCGACGTCCGTCAGCCGCTCCGCGCAGCAGTCGTTGCGGTTCTGCAGCCGCACGTAGCGCACATACACCTCGCTCCCGAGGTCGACGCCCCACCATTGGCTTGTGTATTGGCCGCACTCGGCCCACGGCCGTCCCGTCGTGCTGTCGGCGTATGACAGGTCGCTCACGGGCGCCTGCTTGTAGAACAAGCTCGAGTCCTGGTACGTGGTGGCGGCGCGGAGGTCGAGCAGCTGCACGTCAGGCGGCGGCGGCGACGGCGAGGCGGACGGCGGCGGCGGCGACGGCGAGGCGGACGGCGGCGGCGCAGGCAGGGCGGAGGGCGGGGCCCCGTCTACGAGCGCCTCCGCCTCCGACCACCACCCCTGCGCCTTGCCAAATTGGATCGCGTCTGCCGTCGCGATCACCTTGAGGAGCGGCGAGCTCCCACACGCCCCCACCCCGCCAGCAAAGACGGTGCCTGGCCCGGCGGAGGACTTTTCCAGTAAGCCCGCTCCATTCGATCCACTGAAGGGCAGTCCGTAAGGGAAGGGCAGATACGGCCGTTCGCACGGCACCGCACCGGCCGTGTAGTGCGCCGCGGTCGTGACGAGTGGCTTCGCCAGCGGGTGCACGGGCAGCTGCATCAGCTGACACTCGTCCTCGACAAAGGACCAGACCTCGCAACCCGACGTCTCTTGGCATAGGCTGCGGCAGGCGGCCGGGTCCGTGATGACGGAATGGCCGTGCGCGAGCGCAATCTCGGACCACCTCGCGGCACGTTCAAAGCACTCCGTCGAGCTGCATGCGACGCCAAGCAGCGGGGCGAATCCGTCTGCACCAGCAGTGAGGTCGCCATAATGGCCGCTCACATCAAACGCGCAGCTCGATGGAAGTGGAGACGGAGGCGACGGCGATGCAGACGGAGGCGACGATGGCGGCGATGGCGGGAGGGGAGGTGGCAGATCCGAGAAGCCATTCACGTCGACCGCCGCAACGTTGCTGGAAGGGAAGAGCAAGAGGAGGAAGAGGAGGAGGAGCGGGTGGGGTGAAGCGATGGACATCGTGCGATGACACTGCAAGCGATGCGCGCTCGGGTTGCAGTTGAAGATAAGGGCGCTCTCGAACTGCTCACTCTCTTTGTGCGCGAGCCGCGGTCAAGGCGTGGGCGTTTCACCTTGATAAGGCCTAAGATGAGTGTAGTGAGCTGTGAGCTGTACACGGAGCGAGGGTCTGTACCGAGGCGTACAGGAACGGTACAAGCAAGACTACATCAGCCAAGCCGCGGTTGAGCGGACGACCGACAAACAGAGCAGAAAGCAAGCCGGCCTGACACGTCCCGCACATGTCCCTGTTCACACAGACATCTCTCGGCGCCTGCGGCGGGCTGGGGGACCCCATCTCCCCCCCGCATGGGTACCCCCTAGCTCGCCTCCCCCCAGAGGTCTTTCGTCTTTTGTCGCCGATTTCGCACACGCGCGCGCCGCGCGACCCGCGTCGCTCCGCGAGGGCATGAGCCTTCCGCGATTCGATCCCGCAGCCAAAAGCTGCTCGCTCGAATCGCGGCCGACTCTGCCACCGCGGCTGCAGCTGTTGAGCTCTCCAGAAGACTGGTGCCTCATATGCTGCCTCCCTGCGGATGCTGCCGGCGAGCCTGGCGGTCCGCTGTTACTACAAGGAAGTGCTGACTCGGTTCTACCTCGAATTCTTCTACCCTCACGACTCGGAACGCGAATGTGACAGGACCATCGGGTCCTTCAGCCACCAAAGCGAGATCACCCGAGAGCAGCTGAGCCTGCCTCTGGCCTCGCCTCCCTCTCCTTCAGGCATTCGTGGCATCCTATGGGTCGTCCAGAGAGTGATCTGTGATCTGTAAGGGTCCGCCCGCAGGCGCATTTTGTATACCGAGGCGGTGCCCGGTGCCGAACCTGTCGGACCTTAAGACAGCATTGTAGATCCCTGGGCGAGGGTGGTGGCGTCCCCGTCGGGAGTATCGACCTCTGGCTTGTCAGCCGGTCACTTGATGACGACCATGAAGTACAGCGATCGCCACCTCGCTGGCCTCTCCGCAAGGCCCCCCCGACCGCGTCGAACTCACGGCGCGGGCTCTCTCGGCTACCGGGACCGGCCCCAGCTTCGGCTGAGGGCTAACAAGCTGCCGAGCCCAAATCACTGTGAGAGTCGTGATTTCTTGTTGGTTTTCTAAAATCTCTCTCTCAGACTACCCCTGCGGTGATGGTATGGAGCGGGGCCGTACACTGCTCGGTACCCCCCCTGCACAACTAAGCTCATCCCTGCTGCTAGGGGGGGGGGGTCCCGACCCCCCCAGCAGCAGAGCGCACTGGACCAGCTCTCCCGCCTCTTCGCCGCCGCCCCCCCCTCCAGCCTTGGCTTCGTGTTTGAGCGGTATGCTCGAGGCGGTTGTGTTCACCGCGCCTTCGAGCCCAATACACCTTCTCGTCGTGTCGAGTGCTGGCGTTTTACAAACACTTGTGACCATGTGAGTCTATTGTAATACCACACGCGCCTATACATCAGTGTAGTCTCATCATCGAGTGATTGCTGGCCTGTGGCGTATGACCTCGCGCGGATATCACCAACGACGAGCATGCGAAGATGGGAACAATATCTTGTACAGCCCGCTGTGCTCCCCGCTGTGCCACGGCGTATGATGGGCTGCGAGAGCCGTATCTTCCCCCCTTGAAGCAGAGGCGCCGCGAGGCACGAGAGGCGTAGAAGAGAGGCTGGCGTGCCCCGCACCTCCCGGTTGGCAGTAGGAGGGCCCGCCGGTAAGACCACTGATTTTGGTGCCGACCATAAATTCTCGCCACTGGAACGCATGCTACTTTACAGCTGCTGTCTGTACAGAGATGCCAGCACCCCCCACAGGCAGAGCGCTCCTGCTGGGGGGGGGGTCCGGACCCCCCCAGCAGCAGAGCGCTGCTGCTGGGGGGGGGGGTCCCGACCCCCCCAGCAGCAAAACGCTGCTGCTGGGGGGGTGGTGGCCATGAGCTTAGTTGTGCAGGGGGGGGGTACCCAGCAGTGTGCGGCCGCTCATGGCTCACCCTGTAGTCCGCCATGAAAGGAGCGTTTGCTTTCCCGGTTTGGGGCGCGGTGGCGCATATGCTGCCTGCCAAGTGGTGCATCCAGATTTTTCCCAAATTTGAAACCCATACCGCTCATCCGCTCAACATGAAATGAGGTTTTGGCTATGAGCATAGTACGGGCACCTGGATTTCGCGCGCGGAGCGCGCGCCGGCGCTACCCCGGACATGTACCCGTTGGCCTGTGAGTGAACACGTGTGTCAACTTGGCCCGCTGTCGGAGACCTTCCCTGCTGCTCCGTCGCCTTGCCCCCACTGGCGCCGAGCCTCCTCGGCGATCAGGTCCGCCGCGAGCGCCACCTCTTCGAGGGTGGTGTGCCGGCCGGTGGACAGGCGGAGGGTGCCCACCGCAAACTCGGGCGGCACGCGCAGCGCGCGCAGCACCGCCGAGACGGAGGCGGCGTTGGCGTGGCACGCGGCGCCCGCCGAGGCGGCGAGGCGCTCGGAGAGGGTCTCGAGCAGCTCGGCGGCCCGCACGTCGCGCAGGCCGATCGAGAGCGTGTTTGGCAGCCTCCGGCTCGCGTCGGCAGGCCCGTTGACCCTCGTCGACCCAGCGGGCAGCCGCTCGACAAGGGCGCTCTCGAGCGCGTCCCGCGTGCGCCTCATGTGCTCCCGCAGCGGCGCCGCCTCGGCGCGCGCAATCGCGGCGGCGGTGCCGAGAGCGACAACCATCGGCGTGCACTCGGTGCCGGCGCGCCGCCCGCTCTCCTGCCCGCCGCCGTGTATCATGCGGGGGAGCGCGAGGCCGCTTCGGATGTAGAGCGCGGCGATGCCCTTGGGCGCCCCAAACTTGTGCCCCACCAGCGTGAGCAAGTCGACCCCGAGCGCACGCGTGTCCACGTCCACCTTTCCAATCGACTGCGCCGCGTCGGTGTGAACGAGGACGGAAGGCCTCAGAGCCCTGACCGCATCGGCAATCTGGCGGACCGGCTGCACCGACCCAACCTCGTTGTTCGAGTGCATCACGCTCACCAGAAACGTCTGCTCTGTCGTCGCTGCCGCCACCGCCTCCGCGCTGACCAAGCCCTCTTCGTCCACGGGCACGTAGGTGGCATCGAGCCGTCCCGCCGCACAGAGAGCCTCGATGCACAGCTCCACCGCCGGGTGCTCGATATTCGAGGCGACCACGTGCGGCCGAGGCAGCGCCGCCCCTCCCGCACCTCGCCGCCGCGCCTCCTCCATCTCCAGCGCGCCGACAATGGCAAAGTTGTCGGACTCGGAGCCGCAGCCCGTGAAGCAGATCTCCGAGGGCTCAGCGCCGATGAGCTCCGCCACCGCAGCGCGGGCCTGGACGATGGCGGCGCCGCACGGGCGACCAAAGGCGTGGCCGGAGCTGGGGTTTCCCCAGTGGTGCGTGAGGTACGGAGTCATTGCGGCAGCCACTTCGGGCCACACCGGCGTCGTCGCCTGGTAGTCGAGGTAGACGCAGTCGCCGTGCTCAGGCGCGCGAGGCAGGGGCGAGCCGATGCTGCTCATAGAGCTCTATGCTGAGTGTCACCGAGTGTTGCTTTGGAGTTTTTTGGGCGTGGGGGGGGCTCCAGGAATTGGGCTGCCGCTTCCGGTGCGGGACCCTCATCGTCTCACCCTCCCTCACTGATGTGTGGCGAGGGCAGGCGGTGTGCGTTGTCGCGGGCGGTCCGGGCGGCCGCGCCTCCAGAAAGTCGCCGGACTGCAGCGCGATCGAGAGAGGCACGTGGTCGTCAAAGGACAAAGCCGCAGTCGGACTCGAGAGCCGGCGGCGTCTCAGGCATGACCGCGGCGCACATCATCCGAGCAGACGAGACGCGCGGCGGCGCGAGGCGGCTGGCGGGGGCGCCGTGAAGGCGAGGCCGAGCGTCACGAGGGCGGCGACTGTCGTCATACGTGGGTGGTCCGAACGGACGGCGGGATCGTGCCCGCGGGCGGTCCGCGGCGCATTGCGCCGCGGCGGCTGATGGGACGCGGCTCGAAGGCGGCTCCCGCGAAGGCACGTCTGGCACTCGTGGCGCGGGGCTCGTCTTCGAAAAAGTCGGTATTGTATGGCTCTACCCGGTACCCGCAACCCTCTCGCTGACATGCGCGCCCCGTCGAGCTTACGGCGGGGGGGCGCGCTGCGGTCGCACGCCTCCCAAGTCATATGCCACGGCGTGAGGCCTAGATCAGCACACGAGCTTCTGCTCGCGAACACTCATACAATGAATTGACATCACCCCGATGAGTGCGAGTTAGGGCTAGCAGTAGGCCGCTAGCCTGTGAGGGAGCGTCTATAGACACCTGAAGTGAGCGTGTTTGTGGTGTTGGTGTGGCGTCTGAGCTTGGATCTGTGACTAAAGCCGGTTACCACTGATGGATCCCCACCCGAATAACACACAGTGAGCGCCCCAGCGCTTCACTACGCCCTCCGCGCGAAATCTCGCTAGTGCTGTGAGAAAGTATATTGTACTTTTGAGTAGTACGGGTACGGTTCCCGAGACCGCCCTCTCCGCCCCTTCCAACACCGACGTCACGATCTCCGCCATCCCAGAGACTCCTCTTGATGATCTCCGCCATCCCAGAGACTCCTCTTGCGAGCCCGCCACCATCGATCGTCACCGCTGCCCTCGCCACTGACGCCCTCGCCATTACCACAACTCAAGTCTTCTGGAGAGCATTTACATCGATGTGGGAGGCAAGGCCACCCGTCGATGCTACCTGCTACCAAGCGGTGGGGCAGGAGATTGGAGGGGCCCCTTGCAGAGGCAGTCCTAGAGCCTCACAGCAGCTCAGCGGAACCTGATTCAGCTCTCCAGGTTTGGGGCGGTGCGGTTCGAAAAACCACTTTGGCTCAGCCGTGTCCTGGATGGGCGATCTCGCGCAGGACCAGGAGGAGGCGGCTCGCCGGCTGATCGCGCTCGTCGAGTACACCAAGGAGCTCAACGAGGTCTCGCGCCGCGACCTCGAGCCGCGCCTGGCCTTGCGCGGCCCTGCTGATGCCGCAAAGGCTGCTGGTGACGACATCGGAGTGATGCTGCACGAGGGCTTCCTGGACAAGCTGAAGGAGGCGGAGCGGACCGTCGCATCGCGCGACCCCACCACCGGCAAGCAGCTCAAGGCGCAGCGGCCTGTCGTCGCGATGATGGCGGATGAGGATGACGTGCCCGCGGCTGCCGAGCCGTCCCGGCATGGACCACGACGACCGCTCGCCGGCCGCCCAGGCGGCGTGTGCGGCCTACGCCTCCCTCTTCTCCTCCCACCAGGAGGCGTTGCGCGAGGGGCGAGGCGCGCAGCTCACCGTCGGCGTCGGCCTCGTGCGCTGGCGTGTGGACGCGTCGACCGTGATTGACCACCCGCTGGTGATGATGCCGGCGGAGCTGCAACTCGACGCCACCGGCGCGTATTGCGTCCGCATGGCCGACGCCTCCGCCCCCGCCCTGTGGACATTCCCAGGGGTGCGGCCGCGCGTCGCAAGAGGTGCTCCGGTTCACAGCCTCCGCTCCCTAGGGGCGCACGCCCTTCCTGTCTAGGTGCCGCGCGTCGCCGCGGCGCTCAAGCTGCTCGACGAGTGCGCGCGCGCCTACGGCTTGCTCGGCTCGTCTCCGCCGCCGCCGACCGCAAAGCGCGCAGCTCGCAGCCGCCCGCCGTGAGCAGAGAGACGAGTCGAGTACAGCGGGTCCCGCCTGGTAGGCGGGCGTGGGAGCCGCTTCTGCAGCGCGCGGCGCAGACACTCGCGGCCGACGGCGTCTACGTCGACGGCCCGCCGCGCACGACCGCCAAGGGAGCGCTGCCCTAGAAGCAGACTGCTGCACGCTCACCCTCCTGCCCCCACCCGGACTTGGCGACGGCGGCGCTCTGGATGGGGCGTGACCTCCTGCCTCCAACCTCCTTCCTTTTTGAGCAGGTGTGACGCCGCGCGAGCGACGCTCCGAGATCGCCCGAGATAGCGCGGCGCGGCCCCGAGATCGCCTGAGATAGCGCGAGATCGCCCGAGATAGCGCGGCGCGGCCCCGAGATCGCCCGAGATAGCGCGAGATCGCCCGAGATCGCGCGGCGCGGCCCGGGGCGGGGTGGATGGGTTGGGAGCGAGGGGGCGGAAGTGCTCAGTGCGGTAGATTGGCGAGCTCGAGGCGCGTGAGCCGGACCTGTGAGCCGTACCACCCCCTCTTGTTATCTGCGTTGTTGAGCCAGGACTCAACATACTCGTTCTGTTGCCGTCCCAAACTGTCACTCCCCTTTCTCCCGGCCGGGGTGGGGCGCGCGCGCGGGGGCGGCGGGTGTGCGCGGGTGTGAGGGATGTCTGTGAGCCCGAGAGCGATATGCCATGTCCGCCGTTTTGTTTTCATAACATCAAAGGTCGGTAGGTACAAAGGTGAAGAACAGCCAGGCTCGGACTGGACACCAACGCGGTATGGGTGGACGCTGGACAGATGATGACGACACGCACGAGCGACACACAGACACAAACAAGCTCACAAGACACACAGCCAGCTGGCTGCCACATCGAAGTAGGTAGGTAGGTACAAAGGTGAAGAACAGCCAGGCTCGGACTGGACACCAACGCGGTATGGGTGGACGCTGGACAGATGATGACGACACGCACGAGCGACACACAGACACAAACAAGCTCACAAGACACACAGCCAGCGGGCTGCCACACACCCTGAGTCGGCGTACACATAACTCAGGGCCACATCCTCCCTGTCGCCCCCCCCAGCACTCCACGGTGCCAAGGGCACAAACAAGGGCACAACTCAAACAACAGACGACAGGAAGTGACATGCGAGGCTAGAGCAGGCTTGCTCTACCTCCAGCAATCTCTCCGGCCGGCGAGGCACGGACGAGACCGTGTGTGGGGTCTAAGTGAGGTGTCTATGGACGCTCTCCTCACGGGCTAGCTGCCTGCGGCTAGCCCTAATCTCGCACTCACGGGCAGTGACAATTCAATGGGTGAGTGTTTGCGAGCAGAGGCGCGTGGGCTAAATCTAGGCCGCACGTCGTGGCACTATGACGAAGTTAGACGTGCGGCCGCAGCGCGCCCGCCGCAGGCTCGGCGGTGCGCGCGTGTTAGCGAGCAAGTTGCGGGTGGAGCCATGCCCGACTTTTCGAAGGTGAGGCCTCTGCGACGAGTGCCAGCCGCGCTGCGGAGCCACATCGAAGGCTAAGCTCAAAAAAAAATACACGCGGAGAGAGAGAGACTACATGTACACCAAGAGGGAAATTTTGGTGAGTCGTCTCAGTCTCACGTGAATTCGTCCCTGTCTCACTCTCAGCGTCTCAGCGGTGTCTCAATAGATCCATCACTCCGTCTCACTTCCGTCTCACTTCCGTCTCTGACTGCCTTCTCGTCCGTCTCAGCGCGGCAGGCTCCCGAGAGTGCCGAGATTGCCCAAGATAACCCGTGCAACCTCATGAGGTGGTCGGGGCAGTGTGGCAGGCGCCCGAGAGTACCCGAGATCGCCCTCGTGATGTGGTCTGATGTGCAGTGGTCACCTCGGGGCAGTGGCAGGAGCCCAAGCACGCAACCTCGGGCAATCTCGGGCATTCTCGGGCGCCTCCCACTGCCCCCCACATCACGACGTTGCACGGGTACTCTCGGGCAATCTGGGCACTCTCGGGCACTCTCGGGCGCTCTCGGGCGCTCTCGGGCACTCTCGGGAGCCTGTCGCGCTTGAGACGGACGAGAAGGCAGGAAGAGACTGCGTGAGACGGAAGTGAGACGGAGTGATGGATCTGTTGAGACACCGCTGAGACGGCAGGAAGGAGAGACGGAAGTGAGACGGAAGTGAGACGGAGTGATGGATCTGTTGAGACACCGCTGAGACGCTGAGAGTGAGACAGGGACGAATTCACGTGAGACTGAGACGACTCAACGTGACGCCCCATGTACACGGTGCTCAAAGTCGATCGGCCTTACACAGGCAGGCGAAGCGATGGGCTGCGGCACGAGCAAGCCGGGTCTGACCTACGAGGAGAAGCTGGCGCGGTGGCGCAAGCTCGGCGGCGGCGACCTGGAGCGTGTCCTCGCGAGCGGCGCCGCCGCCCTCCTCGACGCGCAGTGGATCATCCGCCACGCCGAGGCGGGCGGCGTCCTCACCCACCGTCAGGCGCTGCCCAAAGAGGCCTTCCTCTCCCTCGCCGACCTCGTCGAGGCGACCAGCGACGTCCCGTGGCTTCCCGTCGGAGCGCTCTCCTACCCGTGGCTGACCAAGGACCACCCCGACCCGCTCGGAGCCAACCTCGCCCGCGTCGCGAAGGCGCTCAAGGTCCTGCTCACTCTCATCCCGCGGCTCGGCGTCTTTTGGGACTTCGGCTCGCTGCACCAGCACCCCGACCCCCCCAACGGCGTCCTGCGCACCGAGGAGCAGAACGCGCTCTTCAAGGAGGGTTTGGGCTGCCTCGGCACGCTCTACTCCCACCGGCACACGATCGTGCTGCGGCTGACCTCCTTCCCGGACGGCCACAAGGCGGAGATGCAGGCCGATGGCACCAACGTGGCCAAGTACTTTGACCGCGGCTGGTGCTACACGGAGCAGTGCTGGGCGGGCCTGACAAAGTCTGGCCGGCTCTCCCTCGACCTCGGCAAGATGCGCGCCGGCAAGGAGTATGACTTCTGGAGCCTCCGAGCCGACTGCACCCAGGACGGCGGCCGGCGCCCTCCGCTGCTGCCGTCTGCGTTCGCGGCGGAGCTTGAGAAGAAGAGCTTCACCAACGGCAAGGACGACAAGCCGCTGGTGAAGCGGCTGTACGAGGCCGCCTTCGAGGAGCAGTTTGGCAAGGCGACCGAGCTGATCTACTACGACCTCGGCTGGGGCGACGCGGAGGCGGCGCAGCTGGCGGAGGTCCTCGCGAGCGGGGCAGCGCCGCGGCTCGAGGAGCTCATTCTCGACGACAACAAGATTGGCGACGAGGGCTGCAAGGCGCTGGCCGCCGCCCTCGGCAAGGAGGGGGCAGCGCCGCGGCTCGAGACGCTCAGTCTCCGCTTCAACCAGATTGGCGACGAGGGCTGCAAGGCGCTGGCCGCCGCCCTTGGCAAGGAGGGGGCCGCCCCGAGCTTGAAGGCGCGAGACGCCCCCCTCGCTGCTCGCCCCTCCCCCGCCCAATGCTCATCGCACCTCCCCTCGCGTGCAGCTGCTCGGCGTGGGCCACCAGGAGCCTGAGCTGGTGGCCGTGTGCGAGGAGCGCGGCATCAGGCTGGTCTGAGCCTCTCCAGCCCCGGCCGGCG